GAAAATCAGCATCCAAAGTTGCCCAAAATGATCCGAAACACACCCGAAACACACCCGAGGCCCCCGGGACCCCAACCAAATATACTAATGAGTCTTAATACATCATACGAACTTATTCGAGGCATCAAATCACATCAAACTTCGCTAAAAACACGATTCACACCCCAATTCAAGCCTAATGAAACTAAGAAATTCCAATTTCTACATTCGAACCCGAAACCTATCAAATCAAGTCTGATTGACCTTAAATTTTGCACGCAAGTCACATTTGACATTACAGACCTACTCCAACTTTTGGAATCAGAATCCAAACCGAATATCAAAAAGTGCACTCCCGGTCAAACTTCCCAAAAACCTTTAAATTTCCAACTTTCGCCAAATGACCTCGAAATGGCATATAGACCTCTAAATCCACATTCGGACGCGCTCCTAAGACCAGAATCACCATACAGAGCTATTCCCAGGTTTGGAATCCCAAATAGACATCGATAACATTGAAATACACTTCAACCCAAATTCATGAAATTCTTCCAAAGTATCAACTTTCCACAATAAGTGTCGGGATGCTCCCAGGTCATCCAAAACTGGATCCAAACATACGCCCAAGTCCAAAATCATCATACAAACCTGTTCGAACTTTCAAATCCTGATTCTGAGGTCGTTTACTCAAAAATCACACCTTAGTCAATTTTCCAACTTAAAGCTTCCAAAATGAGAATTTTCTTTCCAAATTAACTTCGATCTTCCCAAAATTCAATTCCGACCACACGTACAAGTCATAATATTTGAAGCTACTTATAGACTCAAACCACCAAACGACGCACTAGTGTTCAAAATAACCGGTCGGGTCGTTACAACCTGGGATTCTTTAAGACAGTATATTTGCAATTTGTCCCACTTGTCTCTCCAAGTTACGCAAACCTGTCCCAAGTTCTTTGATAGCTATACCATGAGAATCTAATCTCTCTTCTATCTTTCCAATGAAGGACTTCATAAGATCTTCTAACCCAGGCTGATTTGATTGGTGAGGCTGAAACTGCGGCCTCGTCTAATTCACAAAATCATGAGCTCTTTGAAATCTGGAGTTATTTTATTGCCATGCATTTGTTGTGCCCCTAGGTGCGCTCCATTAAAAACTGGGGTGCTTCTGACCCATTGCATTTACTTCCTCCATTGTAGCTTGACACTCATGAGTAGGGTGTCCTCTTCCACATATATCACAGGCTGCATGAAGCTCATTGTGTATTGAGGCGAAGGTCAGCTTCCTTATTTCTTTGGCCATGGCATCAAGTTGTACCTGCACAGATATATTAGCATCAACCTTTTGAACAACCGTTGATCTTCTTCTTTCAGAAATCTCAGAGGACCACTGATTTGCATCTTCCGATAACTCATCTGGTATAATGACTATCTCCTCAGGAGTTTTTTTCATCAACGGACCTCCAGCTGCATTGCTCAATATTCTGTGTGAGGCCGGTGTAAATCCATCCCAAAAGTCCTGGAGTTGCATCCAGAGTTCAATTCCGCTATGTTGACACTTTCGTACTATCTCCTTAAACCTCTCCCATGCTTCAAAAACTGTTTTGGTCTCGTTCTGGCAGAAGTTATGGATTTCTCTTCTAAACTTGCCCGTCTTAGCTGAGGAGAAATATTTAGCAAGAATTTTTCTAGTCATATCCTCCCATGTTTTAATCAATCCTTGTGACACACCATTGTATTGAAAGGTGTTTATTTTCTCCTCGAAGTCCATCAGATGATTGTTTGGATCTTCGTTCATATTTCCTTTGAAGACACAGTTGTTTTGGAGCAACCCTTGCTTGGAGGTGGTCTCACACTTGATAAGCCTTGGGTGTAGACCAGTCTGGCATAATCTCCAAGTGGTCTCTTAGCCGAGAGTTAGGTTTCCGAACTGGTCTGCACCCAAGGGCTGATTCTGAGCCATTCTTCGAGCCCTCTCCTCCTTATAAGCAATTTTTGCATCTCTAAGTGTTGCTTATTCAACATCCCTTGCACCTTTCTCTTTGAGTTGGGCTACCTCTCTCGTGGCCAAATCTACATTATCATTATCTCCAGCCATATTTTCTTTGGTTGAGGATTGCCAAACCTTTTTTATATTCTTAGGGAGATTTCTTTCCTTCCTCAACTGTCGCAGTTGTTTCTTGATTTCTAGTTCGTATGGTTGCACTTCTTTCCCAAAAGATAGAGTCATGCACCAATCTAACCTGTAGCCTGCGCACAGTCAAAGAACACCAAACGTAGAAAGAGAAAATAAAATAAAAATAAAAAGAAATTCCAAAATTAGCACTACAAACTATTTCGAACACTATTGATTTCCAATTCCCAGCAACTGTGCCAAAATTTGACGAGCGCAAAGCACACACTTAAATATGCTTGCTAGTTGAATATAGTAAAATATAATATCGTATCCACAGAGATTGGAGTTTAACAATATTTTCATAGTTTATAGCTCGATTGCTATCCAAGATGATTAATAATGGAGATTTATATGATTTAAACTAAAATTAGCTAAGAATCTAAACTATTGACTAGTGATAAAACGCAAGTAGTGAGCAAAGGAAGATATTAATTGGGAGAAGATATGATTGATAGGATAGATGCAAGACAAATGTTTGAGATATAACTCTAGATAATTCACTTCTGATGTTCACGTGAGTCTCACGAATTCACTTGGTTATTAATTCAATTATTTAGTAGAAACTTCTCTCTCGATTAAGTCTCAACCTCACAAGATGAACTAATTTAAGATCGGTAAAGATATGCGCGAATTCGTAGTGGATTGGTCTTTAGGAGAACCTCTCTCAATTATCCTTCTAACTAGGTTTAATCAACAATTCAACTAGCTTCTTCCGATTACTAAGATGAATTAATGAATTCAACCAACAAAATATAATGCAAAGATATTACAAGTTATGCCTCTCTCGATTACATGAACAAGGAATATAGATGCAATGATTAAAACGTCTGAAATGATTCAATGCATAAAACTAGAGTTAACATTCACAAACAAGTATCAAAATACCAAATCCATCAAATCCTAAAGAGAACTACTCCATAGACATGGAGGAATTCATCACAACAATGTTTAAATCAAAGAAAAACATAAAACAATCCAAACTCTTGTTTTGAGTGAAGATTGAATGATGAAGTACTTGCACCACGCGCCGCAGCTCTAGGAATTTATGAAAATATAAAACATGAAAGTTGTAGCCCTGTTAAATAGATTTCCAATGAAATTTTGTGGAGCCCAAACGGATTTCTGAAAATTATGTGCATTTTACTGGACAATGCGCAGTATGCCTTCTCGATTCTTCGTTTCGTTCTTAAAGTGCACTATCATCCGTTGATCCCCGAATACGATCCCAACTTAATCTTTAGGCTTTTACTCAGACATTAAAGCTCTAGAATATCTTGAATTCATTCCATAACATCTACATAGCTCGGAATCACTCCTACAAGGCATAAAACACATAATTAGTGCAAAATACTAGCAATTAAAGCTCAAACTCAATTAAAGTACAGTAAATTGGAATGTAATAAGCGACTAAAACATGAGATTATAGCCTACCATCAAGAAGTTATCTTACTACCGTGAACTATGAACTAGTAAAAGTTGAAAGATAAATCTCAAAGCATAAGTAACAAAGGTTCAAAATAACTCTCAAAGTATAATATTCTTAATTAATAATGAAGTGCCTCGATGAATGAGAAGAACTCCTTATTTATAGGGGTAAAAGTCCCTAAAATGAGGTAGGGTGACTGCTAAGGAATAAAAGAAACCCTAAAAATAAGAGGGTGGGTGGCCAAATCCTTTTGGGGTAGATTTCAACCTTAAAACTACTAGTTTGGGTCATTGGTTTGGACTCCAGTTGGGTTCCTTTTAAAACACCACCTTTTGGACCTCCTTTAAGCTCATTTTGCGCTCTTTTGGCGGACTTCAAGGGCTGATTTCAAGATCCAATCTTCCTCCTCTTGGATTTCAATTTGGGACACCAAATAATTGTAAAACTTGGACAGTTCATCTCCTTTGGGCTTGAGCTTCCTCTACAATTAAAAACTTCTTTATTTGCCATTGAAGTCCAGCAACTTTAATCTGCAACTCTTTAGCCTGAGATCTTGTAAATGACCTTCTTGGAGCTTCCAAAACTCTAACCTTGTCCTTGATGCTATCAAGCTTGCTAGGAAGGCTCTACAAGAGACTAATGGCAGAGATGTTAAGCTTATGACTTATCCTCCTTTTTTTGTAGCTAATGCTTTACATTTAGACTATGGAGGAACTGTTTATCTAGTTAAATACTTCATCCGGTCCAAAATAAGTGATTTTTTTGCTTTTTTTTGTGGTCCAAAATAAGTGATTTTTCCAGATTTCAAGAATGAATTAATTATTTTTTTCCTATATTACTCTTGGAGTAATTAATGTTGGGTATTTGTTAGGAGTGTCTATGTGAAGAGATAGTAAATGTTGATATGGTCAATTTCATTGCTAATTAATGTTAAAAGATGAATTTCTTAATATATATGAAGACAATCAAAAAATCACTTATTTTGGAGCTAAGAGAGTATTTTAGTAAAGATGTTTGCACTAAACTTGCATCCCTAGGAAATCAGAATGTCGTAAGTGACATGCCTGAGCGCCGTAATAGCAAAGTAAGAAATGTCCATATGGACATATGTAATGGTGTGAACCATATTCCCTAATATTTATATATATAGGTCCCTGTTTATAAAAAACGTTATACCCATTGATAGTGCATTAAATTCTTATACCATTATTGTGATTCAACTTATTATAGAAGATTATTCACCATCTATCTTGTTTAGTAATTCACTCTATTAAATAGAGTTGCTTACAATTACTTCTTAAGTAATCTACTACAACGACAATTCCAGTAAAATCCAGGGGTAAACTAAAGATAAAATCGATTTGCGTTATTTACGGGCCACTTGGTTTTGAAACGAACCTCAGGCTTCGGAANCCCCCCCGAAAAGAATAAATAGAACACTCACTCAAAAAGCGCAACACAGCAAAAACATCCCCATTTGCCGGAGGTCGACAGCGATGGCTGATCACGCCGGCGAGCACGACTCATTTGTAGAAACGGTAATGGACAAGGTCAACGTCGACAAGTTGCACGTCGCACACCACGATTCTTCTTCTTCGTCGGATTCTGAAGACGAGAATAAGGATACAAAATCGCCAGTCGACGCCGTCAAGGCTAAGATCTACCGCCTTTTCGGTAGAGAAAGGCCTGTCCACAAGGTTCTAGGCGGTGGAAAACGTAGATTCCTCAATTCTCTCTCAAGTTTTATTTATTTTATAACATATGCTGCTAATATATATACATGTATCATGTAATTATGATTCGATTTTATAGTTATTGCGAGCAAATTAGTTTGTTAATAAATGACTTGCGGGCCAAGAGGCACTGTTTAATTATTTGCGTTTTAGCAAATTCTAAAAATGGAACCTCCTTTGAATTAATTGGACTAATATTTCGTTTTTTAATCTGTTACTATATAGCTTTTCCCTATGAATATCTCCATCTAGTGAGTTCCTGCAGATTGGTTAATCCTCCCAATTTCTTCTTTCCTTTCCTTTCATTTTTCATTCTTGTTAGGTCTCATTAGGATCCACAAAGTTTTTTGTTGGTGCAATAAGTGTATTCTTTATTGCGCCTCTTTTATTTCTTAAATGCGAAGTTGAACTGTTATTTTACCGATTTGAGTTTCATTAAAGTAGTATCATGTTGCTTCAATTTTTGAATGCATTTTCCTAGTTTATATAAATTGTTAATATTCCCCCTTCAAAGTTGAATAAACGTTTGCGATTGAATATGGAACTATTTGTTTGTAAAGAAGTTTCTATCAGCAAAGATATATTCTGAAGCTGGTATTATAACTTCATTAGAAATATCAGGGAATCCCATTGGATCAAACCACCGGAAGCATTTGAGTGGTAAGTAATTCTTGCTGAAATATGAGATGGGTTGCAGCTATAGTCAGAACTGAAGGGGCTAATTTCGTAATGTTGACCCATGGAGAGGTAGCGAAAGAGACATCAAACAGATGTAAATTCTCCACTTTATGGCTGCCACTGCTCTATCTCCAAATATGGATAAAACTAATAGCTTTGTAGATGATCCTTCTAGAAGAGGAAGATTCTATCAACCTTTCCAATTATTTCGTTCTGTTTTATTTAGTAGGATCCCTAGGAAAAGGATTTTGTTTCCACGGTGAATTTATGCGTAAAAGATTTGAAACGAAGGAGCTGTTTCCCTTTTCTGCACTAGTTTTCCAGTTTGATGTGTCAGCAAGATATACTGCGATTTGGCAAAGTTTGAAATAATTTTTATATTAATCACTTAGTTATTTTGCTTTGGCTTGAAAAATACCGAGTTATCCTCTATGCTTCTTTGCCCCAATATCTCCTGCTGGGCTTTCTGTATGTACTGCAGAACTTCAATCTCTACCAAATATGTGTGCTGTTATGGAAACATCTCTTTTTCAATAGCTGCTTGTTGGTTTGTATATACTTATAATTCCCTATGAATGACAGCCGCTGAAATTTTCCTATGGCGGGACAAGAAAGTTTCTGCTGGCGTGCTTGGTTTTGCCACTGTTATTTGGGCGCTTTTTGAGTTGCTTCAATACCACTTGCTCACACTTGTATGCCATATTCTCATTGTTGCCATAACAGTACTTTTCCTGTGGTCCAATGCATCGGCGTTCATCAACACGTACGTATCTTTTTGTGTTCTTGATTTATTTGTTCGTCTAATATGTACAAGAAGATTGACCTTGAAATGTTATGCACCAGGGCTCCACCTCAAATTCCAGAAGTTGTTCTTCCTAGGGATATCGTCCTGGGTGTTGCATCTGCATTGAGGATTGAAATGAATAGGATCCTTGAGATCCTACGAGATATTGCATCTGGCAAAGACTTGAAGAAATTCCTTGTTGTATGTGCATCTATTTTTATATCTTAAGTTCGTAGTTTGACAGTTGCTTCAAGGCTCAAGTTTCTTCCCACTGGATCTCCTCTTTGAGTTTCATGTTTCTCATAGTATACCTTATAAAAAAAAGTTTCTCCCAGTATTGATGTAAAATATTTGACTTGTACATGCAGGTCATTCTGGGCTTGTGGGTAGTTTCTATATTGGGGAATTGCTGGAACTTTCTCACATTATTTTACATAGGTAATTAATTTCATTCTTATTTTGCTAGTTGGACTTTCTTTTTTCAATGCTTACTGGGACTCAACTATTTGTTACTTATTTTATTCTTATTTGCATCTTCTACTTTTCTCTACTTACAGTTTTTGTATTACTGCATACTGTTCCTGTGCTTTATGACAAGTATGAGGACAAGGTTGATGCTTTTGCTGAGAAGGCAGAGGCAGAGATCAAGAAGCATTATGCTGTTTTCAACGACCAGGTTCTTAGCAAAATTCCAAGAGGTCCACCAAGAGACAAAAGGCTTGCATAGAGACTAATAGCGTTTCCACTACGTTCATACTGGAGTTTTCCATATGTTGAGTCCGTGTGTTAGAGCCCTTTAGTTACTGGATTTGCTTTATTACGTGTACAATTAAATGAGTATGGCATTTTTGTGAGGTAGTTTTGACTTCCACATTTAGTTTTGCCTTTTTTTACCCGTAAAACGGTACAATTGAATTTATAACGTAGTTTATAGACAAGTGAGTTGATTTGACCCAAGAATATTAAGTAAATAAGAACAAAAAGATTATGAAACGAAATTAAAGGAAATATAAGCCTGGCTATGTACTTGATCTTTCCGATAGCAGAAGTACAAACAACACTGAGAGCAGAAGAAAATGAATAATTTTATAATCTGGAGAGCAGAATATAGCTTTGTGTACAAAGTATTTCGTGTCTACAATGGATGTTAATTCTCCTATTTATAGCTCTTTTCAGGGAGACAAGATCTTCAAATCAAGCTCCTCTTGAATGAGAATAAAATCGCCATTGATGGCTGCATAACATTTGGTTTTAAATGCAGATATTCTCTGTAACAGCCGCTCATTAAATAATATCCGATATCAATACTTTGAACCTCTGTCCGTCGGCTACTCTGCCTTCAGGGCTCATCCAGCCTGGCCACATGCTGGCAACCAATATTGACTACTTGTTGACTCAAATTCTTCCTCTCTTCAGCTCCACATGTCATCTCTTTATTCGTCTAACTGTCAACAACTAATTTCACCGTATATAGATTGTCCCCCTACTTTTTGGTGACAATACTTTAGTGTCACTGAAAAGTAGAGAACTTTTTCCCTTAGCGAGCAAGTTTCTGAACAGTTTCTAACATTTGAAAGGACGCATGCCTCTCCGCATTTAATGACGTGTTACCCCACGATTTGGCAAATATTTTCGTCGGCTCTCGAGGTAATCGTGACCACGATTTTTGGCGTCTATAACTTCTCCACTACTTATCATTTTTACTCTTTACTTTCACAACTACTTCGTCTTCTCTGAATCTCCTTACAGCCCTTCTGTAACATTCAGCCCTCCTAGTAATTTTTTCTTCATAAACATGTCATCAAACATTGCCGCCCTTGGAAACTCTACCCTTTTCTTCGGAGGCGGCATAAAGAAAACCAAAACAAAGTAAGTTGAAGTTGATTCGGAACCTCCTACCGTGAATTCCATCATACCACTTAAGCTTAGTACGAAATCCGACCTTCAGGAACAAAAAGAATCTATGCAAATCCCAAAAGTGACAGAAGCTGGCCTATTAATACGTATCCTTCTTCCATCTGTCCTCCTAACGTTCCTGTCGTGAGGGAGGATTGTCACTAGGACAACATCGAAATCCTCATTATAAGCGAGGTAGAAAGGGTCACCTTCTCCAAACCAAGGTTCATAGATGTTTATACATACCCTTTCACTTTGAGAGTGGTTGAAGGAGTCAACCCAATAATCTTAGAGTTTTGCCACCGGTACTAAATATGCTTGGCACAAGTAGGGCCTTTCGTGTGGCGTACGGTGGCTTGCCTCCGCCAGTTGTGTTCTGATTGGGGAAACCCCGACTCTCGCACACATGATGTACCTATATTCCCCCAAGATCTTCCGTGGGGGTGTGCTAAAACATAGCAAACGCGGTCATCATGCCTTTCTCACCCGCGTCGAAGATGACAATGACCGTGGATGGATGGAACGGTTCGTTGTTATTGCTACCAGGGATATTCTCTCGACCACAGTGCCTGTTATTCGTGAGTCGTGGAACCTTTTCCGTAAGTCTTCACGTATCCCTTTTATTTCCATACTTTAAAAACACCATCCTTTGTCCCTAACTTTATACCTTATTTGCTCCAGATACTCACTGGAAACCCCCACAGGCACAAAATCTGGCCTAATGGGTTCAGAAAATTCTGGATATTACTACTCCAGAATCTCGACGGTGGAAAGAAATGGCTCTCAAATATGGAGGGAAAGCCAAGAACGTTAAGATTGAAAGAAAAAATCCTTTTTTCTTTCAATCTTAACGTACAAAACAACTTTGGAACAATTTGTTAACTCCTTTTTTGCTCCACACAGGACATCCGAAGGGTTCTATTGTGTGCCCCGATATTGAGTCTCTCGATGACCCGGAGGTAGCCAAACGGGTGCTGCAAGAAGCCCTCAACCAGAGGCAAACTCACGCATCTACTTTCGCTTCTAGTGAAGGCTCCTCCTCCTCCAGGAGTTCCCAGCCCAAAACCAAGAAACCAAAGAGGAAACGTACCTCCTCGGCTGGGGCTTAGGAAAAGAGAATGAAAGAAACTCCAACTGGACTGGCCATAACGGTCCTTGATGACGAGAAAACCGATGATGAAGCAGTTGCCCTTTGGAGAAGAAAAAATTTTCATCAACTCAATCGAGTAGTCAGCCGGGAGAGCTTCAAACTCCACCACCAGAAGAAGTTCAGGGACTCTGGGGGTAAATGGATTTGGTTGAAAATGTCGATTCCCGCTTTTCGATCCCTTCGACGCCTCCGGTCAAAGGAGTTCAGTCTATGAACTTCCTCTACCACTAACCTCTGATCCAATAACAACTGCCACTCCTTCTACACCAGCTTCTTCCTCTACCACCGGTCCATGCAAAGCAATCAACGTTAGATTTAATAAAATCTATAAGTTTCAACCTGAGTTCGGGACTCAACCCCATTCCTAAATGGAATTTTCTCTCCAGAAATTCTTCGAACAAAGCCACTTATTCGAGCTCTTCTGCGATTGACTTGGTCGCATCTGTCTCCTCCGGTACTTGAAAAGACCTCAGTACCTAATATAATTTTGATGACTCCCCGTTTTTATCATCTTCAATTGGGATGGGAAAAGATACTGGTTCCTATAATTGCTATTTGTTGGTTTCTTTGCCCTTGCTGCTGGAAATGGTTATTGCATTCATCTCCCTTGCAGCCGGTTGATTTCCTCTGATATGCTTGATCCCTTATGGTGTTGGAAACTTTAACAATTGATGGTATGTTGAAGGTACAACCATCATTTCATGTATCCATGGCCTTCCGAGGATTACATTGTAGCCAATTTTGCCATCTACCACTTCAAACAGGGTGGTCTTTGTTAAACCTTCGGCATGTGTGGCAGCAAAATTTCTCCTCAGGTTGTCACACTTGTTAGATTGAAGCCAAATAAAAGCTTTGTCGTCGGAATGTTGTTCCCGGTTAACTTTTCTTGCTCTAGGACTCTCCATTGTATTATGTTGACTGAACTTCCCGGATCAACCAAAGCACGCTTAATTTTGAAATCTAAAACATTAAGAGAAATTACCAAAGCATCATTGTACGATAGAAGAAATCCCTCAACATCTTCCTCTATGAAAGTGATTTCATCTTCTGAGACTTGTCGGATCCTCTTGCCATGAGTCACCGATATCTTTGTCTTCTTTACTGCCGAAAATGTCACCTCATTGATTTCGTATCCTCCGATGATCATGTTGATTATCATCCGAGGTGACCTTGCTGCCGCTTCATGGAATCCACACTATAGATTAGGATCATTTGGCTAGGATCCGATCAGATAGGTTTGGGGAACCTAGCTTCTTTAATATTTCTCATGGCCGACACCAATTCCACCGAGCTGATATCAAAATTATAATTAGACAACCGGGCATACGCTGAATCTCTGGACCCTGGCACCTCTTTCTATTGCAATGATATGTTACTCCGGCCACGATCCGTCCTTCTATCGGAAGTGAACCTATTCGATGACTGGAATCCTTTATTACCTCGCTCATCAGCCCACTCGTAAGGCTGAAAACGACTTCTAGAGGGTCTCTGATCTTTATCAAAATCTTTTTTCAACTTATCTTGATTCCGATCACAATTCCATCCTTTGAAAGACACAGAGGAACCAAGTTGATCATCTTCTATTCTTATCTTTGACTTGTAGCGGTTGTGAACATCAGCCCATGTGTTTGCCTGAAATTCGAGCAAGCTTTCCTTAAATTTTCGTGAGGCATTAGAGCTCTATGGGTTGAGACCCTTTGTAAATGCCGCCGCTGCCCACTCATCCGGAACCGTTGGTAACAACATCCTTTCTTTCTGGAACCAGATCATGAACTCTCGCAATAATTCAGTTTCTCCTTGAGATATCCTAAATATATCTGCCTTCCTTGCTCGGACCTTTCTTTCTCCAGCATGAACTTTGATAAATGAATCTGCAAGCATTTCAAAAGAGTTAATAGAATGTTTTGGTAAGAGGGAATACCAAGTTAAGGCAACCTCACCAAACTCTTTCAACAAAATCGATTTGATCTCATACTGGGCCAAGTCGTTTCCCTTTACTGTTGTAGTGTAGGTCATGATGTGCTCTTCTGGATCCAAAGTCCCATCATATTTTGGTATATCTGGCATCTTAAACATTTTTGGGATCAATTCCGGTGCCGCACTTGGTTTAAATGGCAATTGCGTATATTTCTTTGAATCTGGTCCCTTTAACACCGGCCTTGCCCCCTAATCTAACCCATCCGAGCATGAAATTCCTTTGCATTTTGATCCATCATTCATTTATCTCATGAATCTTGGTTTGAAAGGGTCATTTAAATTGTTTCTCCCAAATCCTCTATCGGTACCTCTGGCCTCGTCAAAATTGACATTCTTCCTTGGAGTGTTGTTCTCGATTCTTTGAGCCGTTTGATTTACGGGAACACTGGGAGGAATCGGGGCCCTTCCATTAGCATTATTGGAAGCACACGATAACACCTAGTTCAATTCTGTCATCACCCGATCTTGCCTTGAGAGGTGATCCGTAATCCCCTTTTGCTGTTCTCTCAAGATTTTGATTGTTTCAACAACATGCTCATCCTCTGCATCATCAGGATTTGGGCCGAACACATGCCGAGGATACTGACTTTCATGAACTTGGGTTATTTCAACCCCTTCGTTGCGGGTATCGGTGAATTAATCATCACGATCAAACACTTCTTCCAGTTCACCGTGTGTTCCAACATTGTAAACATTGTTGTTATTATTAGCTACCATACCTGATCTTTCTTTTGCTAAGGAAGGATTCCGAATTTGTTAGTAACAAGTGAATGGATCAAAGCAATTACACAATTGTCTATGCTGCACGATGCCGCCAAACTGTTTACCTGTAAAACGGTACAATTGAATTTATG